AGGAATGGGCCAAAATACCAGCAACAGTGTGAAAACCTTGTGAAGACTTACAGAAAACGTTTGACCTCTGTCATTGCCAACAAAGGGTACATAACAAAGTATTGAGATGAACTTTTGTTATTGACCAAATACTTATTTTTCCACCATAATTTGCAAATAAAGTCTTTAAAAATCAGACAATTTGATTTTCTGGATTTTTTTTCTTTCTCATTTTGTCTCTCATAGTTGAGGTATACCTAGGATGAAAATTACAGGCCTCATCTTTTTAAGTGGGAGAACTTGCACAATTGGTGGCTGACTAAATACTTTTTTGCCCCACTGTATATAACCATGTATGAAAATGCATTTATCTCAAAAAGAGAAGATGCTATATGCCAGATTATGGCTAAAATGTCATTCCCATCTGCAGTCCGTGGACAGGTACACACATAACAATCAACAAACATTAAGAATAAAACATTATATAAATGAAATATTACTAGGTGAATGAAAGGAGTAAAAACACATAATGGAGTGTAATTAAAAGTGGCAGTTAGAGCAAGAAAACTATCACTATCAGTGTTTAGCATGAATGAACTTCCCTGTTGTAATGTGTTGTTGATGACTGTCTCGCTCCCTGACTTTCCGCCTCTGGTGATGAAAGACATGTCAGGAGTTTTGCCAGAAGCAGTAAATAGTTTGACATTTTTTGTAAATGCAGATTAGGAGATTGATACCAGAGATCACATGTCTGTAAGCTAATATGAATCTGCAGCGTTGCAGCTCATAGAGAATTGGGGGCTAGAAAAACGGGCTAGTCAGTTTTGTGCTTTAAAAAAAGTCAGTTAACATTTTAAAGTCAAACCATAGTTCCTCAAATGTTCTGTTCATTGTAAATTATACACTTTCCGGTTGAAAGACAACATTTCTGCTCTCTTTTGGTACTAAAGTAGCTTCATAGATATGTCTCGCTACATGAGCTTATCTTGGGTTTGCATACTAAGAACGTGATAAAGAGCACAGAAAATCCTTTTTTAATTTGAAGGTAATTTCAGACTGCAGTGAATCTTAGAAATTAGAGTGTCAATGTGATAATGATTGTATTAGGTATTGAGAGAAATAACCATAGTGCCCACAATACAGATAATTTGTAACCATTACAATGAGATGACAACAACTGCATCTCCCCGTGGCCTTTGTCTTTGTCATTCTTCTCTCAAGACGGCACAATGATTCAGAGCGGCTTTGAGAATTCAGATACTGGTTTCCTTGAGATCACGCTCAAAGAACATTTAATCAGACGCAGACAATGTTCGTGCGGGAATCTGACAAAGTCAACACTCTGCAAACATTAATGAGGTGCAGACAACAGCACAACGCTGCTTACATGCTGTTCATTAAAATAACCTGGAAACAGTTGGTTGGAACACATGTTTGACGTGTGTGTGTTTTGACGTGTGTTTGTGTTTGTTTGTGTGTGTGTGTTTCAGAGATCTCATTTCGGGTGTGGCAGTGTGGTGGCAGTCTTGAGATCATCCCCTGCAGCAGAGTTGGGCACGTCTTCAGAAAACAACATCCATACACCTTCCCCGGAGGCAGTGGGACTGTGTTTGCAAAGTAACACACACACACACACACACACACACACACACACACACACACACACACACACACACACACACACACACACACACACACACACACACACGATGGAGGTTAATGAGCATTAATTAACCACCAAGGCTCAAACCAAAGTCAAATTCTTTCATTAGATTACTGAACAACAATTAATCCCATTCACACCCTCGCATTGCTGCCAGTTCTCAAGCATACACTGGATACATTTTGCCATCCTTTAATGAGCCATAAGGTCTTCATTACGCTTTGTATAATTATGTTGTGTAGATTTGTGCATTGGGTTGGAATGAGAGGTATGTTTATGATGAATGCATGTGTCCTGTATTAGTGATATTAGCGACACAGTGAGCTGTAGGAAAAAGAAAAAGGTCATGACCCCTGCTAGTCTTTGGATAATTATTGGGCAGCTCAGCAGGTAATGTGAGATGTCTACTAATCGCTGGCTTGGTGGATTGAATGACAAAAATGTTAATTTCCAAATATGTCAAACTATTTGATATGCCTGGAGGGTAAACTCTGAGGAATATCGTGTGAAGTGATCAGAAAAGCTCCAGAACAGCTACTAAAAGGACCTTTTCTCAACAAGCTGCACCATAATATTACAATATTCATAATAACCTCACATGGCATCTATTCCAATCTAATTGCAGTTAGTGGATATAGCACAGCTCTACCAATGTTTTATTTCTGGTTTGGAATATATATTGTAATCATCGTTTTCATGGATATTATTTATTCATTTGGGTTGATAACATTCGCCCCAAACAACTCTTTCTAGACCTCTCTTTATGCTCACATTATATCAGTTTTTCTGTAAACACTGAAACATACATAATGGATTTGTATTCCAGCTTTGAGACTCAAACCAGTGTTGGATAATTAAAACCAAGCACCAGCAATTAAAAAACAATTAAAAAGTAATCACATGGAAAATTGGTTACAGACTAGAAAGGAATGTTCTTCTTAAATATAGCAGAGCTGTTCTTGCATGCGATTCCCTTTAGAGCTTTGATAAATGTGACAACATTATCGGTGAGCATCAGTAATGGGAAACATGATACAAGGGAAGATATGCATCTCTCCTTTATTACAGTCTCCAACCTCAAGTAACAACCCTTGGAAACGAGCCAGACAAACCCACTGATAAAGAACTTTAACACAAAGATAACAGGGAATGTATAGTAGCTGTGGTTTCTCTGGTGTGCCCAATGAAGTAGGTATCACTGTGGAAAACACAAGTAATGAAGGGCATAATAGATCAACTATGTAGAGTGTTTTTGGGCTAGTCTTAAAGGGATAGTTCGGAGGTTTTGAAAAGGGGTTGTTTGAGTTACCAAAGTTAGCTAGTTTGGAGTAACAGACAGGATTAACAGCACAGAGGTAAAAGGTTGTCCTGCAATTTGCTTGACTGCTGCTGCCTCGATTGGTTGGTTGTTTGTCTGATTCTGAACTTACCCTTTAAAACAGTGTTTCTCAAACTTTTTCATACCAAGGACCACTTAACCAAAAAAAAAACACTCGCGGACCACCTAACTCCACAAATATCCAAAAACACATCGTTTTTGTAGAACAGATTACAAATCGCCTGAAAATGGTACAAACAGGTGACGAAGGTGTTGCGCTGGGCTATATCACGCAATCGAAAGCAAAACTTAAGCTCGCTCCTTTGCGGGGATATTCCCGCGAGAGTGCGGAAAACTTAAATTAACTTATTTATTTAAAATGTGAAATGTTACCGATATACTCAGGGACCACTAGGGGGCGCTCACGGACCACCAGTGGTCCGCGGACCACATTTTGAGAAGCCGTGCTTTAAAAAAACTAAAGAAACACAATAACACAAAGTAACTAACCAACTGTGGCGGCAATAGACTTACATCTCCCGTGTTCTGTGGTGTGAAATCACAGTTTTTGTCAATGGAGTTAAGGCTTTAGCTCCCCAATTAGAAAGGGTCGGACGTTAGAGTGGTGAAAATATTTTAAATATAGTAGAAAGCTAAACTGATATTGTTTTTTTAGGTGGCTTACACTGTTTAACTCCTGCCCGTCCACAACAGTAAATTGCTTCGCTGATATGTCTGTCTGCCTGTCTTTTTCTCCAAAATTGAGCATGCAGAATGTTCCCTTTTTAAGTCTAAGATGCTGATGAAGTGATATTTGTAATGCCAGCCACAGATGAAAATGACTAAATGTTTTCTGATGGCATGACCATAAGGAATGCTCTAGATAGAAGTGAATCAAACAGTGCTCAAGTGAAAAGCACTGACCTCGTAATAATGGTATAAAACTGTGGTAGTCCTTATAAATTGTGAATGGATGTGGACCTGGATGAAATAGAAAGTGAAGACTGCAGTGGATCTGAAGGAACTCAACAGTTTCAGAGCTGACTATAACAAGCTGTCTCTGCCATCTCAGCCCAGAGGCTTTCTGTGGACCTCAACTCCACATTTCTCAAAGTAGTTGCATAACCTTTTCCAAACTTTCAAAATGATAAGTTATTTATTGCTGGGTGCAGTGGTGTTCTCTTGTATCAGCCTCAACAATGCAGAGCAGCTTCACTGTACTGAGGCAGCTTCAGTTCAGCGTCTTGCCCTTCAATTTGGAATAACGCCCCAGACATCCTCCCTGGGGAGCCTCGAGACAGCGCCTGCTCAGATGGGTTTATAATTGTTCTGGGAGCAGCATTTCTATCTAAACTACAATATCTATGTGTACAATCATGAAAAGGAAAGACAGTCTTGACGCCGCATAGAGTTCCCTACGAGTCCTCTGTCCAAACTATGTTCCTGGGCTGCATGTTGATCAGGATGAATACACAGATTTCTGCATAATGCAAGCTAAGATGGTTGTTGTAAATTGTAACGGCAAAAAATACAAAAACAATATGTGATTTCACCTCCATCATCTGAAATCTAATTCCCTGATCTTCAGATCCACAGCGGGGAAATGTACAGTGTTACAGCAAAAGTGGCATAGCAGGTAAAAAAAAAGCATGTAATAATACAACAAATGTAAGAAAGGCAGACATTAGCATTGAAATAGAGAGAAATAAGTAAACAACCATGGCTAAAACATTTGAGATAAATAGCATATTCAAGTATTACGATCATTTATGACAAGATGTTTTTACATAGAATGATAATAGAAACGTACAATCACAAACAGGGGTTTACTGTATATTGCACAATATGTCAACAGTCCGTATTGTGTGGTGGTCTACGAGGGGGCCGTGGTGGGTCTACACAGCCTGACTGCTACAGGAAGAATGTGGCTTTTAGAAAAAAGAGAAAACTCTTCTTCTCTGTTTCAATATGAGATATGAGACACATTTCCTGTCGAATACACTGTAGACTGTTGTTAATCCGGTTTTACAGACGAAAGCAATGAAGGAAACTTTCCCTTAACTGGTGTCACCACAATGCCACTTTAAAGTTTCACAAGTACAAGGTGTGTATGTGTCTGGAGCAGGATGTGTCTTTATTTCATGAATCATAGGACCTGTTTTCAGTCTCCACATCCATCATCATCAAATGTATTTTGACTCTCAGTTAGGGCCTGTTATGAAGTTAAGGCCTGTAACCAACAATTATCTTCCACATGCATTAATCTGACCATAACTTTGTTGAATTAACGTTTGGCCTAAATGACAATGTACTTAAACCAAAGGGGACGTCTTTGGATAGCTTGTTTTGTACGACAAGAGATGTTCAGTTTACTGTCACTAAAGATAGAAAAGCATTAAATCCCACAATTAAGAAGCTGGAAGAAAAAATGTTATTTGCTTAAAAAACTGGGAAATTGACCCATTAGTTTTTAATTACATATACTGCCAATCAATAGATTAAGCAAATAATTGTTTCAGCTCTAATGAATTTTAAACAGCTCAGTTAAACCAACAGTGTGTTCACAGTGCTGAGTGAATATCCTTTTCTAAATGAGGCACACGGACTGAAGAGCTGTTCTGATTTTGGCTCAGTTTTGCCAGTGGCGAACCGTCAGGGCCTTCAAGGTATTCAGAGAATAGCCGGGAACACTCAGAAAAAACAAACAAAAAATCGATTTGATTATATAAATAAAATGTATATAAAATGAATAAATGAGAATCGTATCTGTGTTGTTGATCTGTAATATTACAGTGTTACGTTGATTTGTTTGTCCTTCTCGGACCATGCTCTACGCATTTCAGTGGTTTTGTGTTAGAAAAGAAAGCAACCAATCAGATCTGTTTCTGGGTCTCTGGGTAGAATATCCTTCAACCAAGGTATTCTACATCCTTGATAGAATGCCCTGGCCGTTGCACTGAATGAGAGCGTACCTTGTTTGGACTGACAGTTTGATCAACCAATCAGATATTGATTTGTAGCCAATGGGCGTATTCTTTCAGAGTTTCCCTTGGTTCCAGGGTACTCTAAAAGGCCCAGTAGTTCACTGGCTTGAGACAGAGGATCTAGATGAATGCGACGAAGCAATTCATGCCGTGTTATTGTTTTTAACGTTGAAATGACAAGTGCAACAGGTGAAGATGATGTTGTTGCGGAATTGTTGTGAGTACCCTTTTCAAGACGACAATTCAGTGAAAAGACGGACGGTGGTGTGTGTGTGTGTGTGTGTGTGTGTGTGTGTGTGTGTGTGTGTGTGTGTGTGTGTGTGTGTGTGTGTGTGTGTGTGTGTGTGTGTGTGTGTGTGTGCCACTGAGTTTTGCCAACTCGGTAAACTTCATTGGAAACATTTGCATATTTGTATACGAGTGTTTGCTTGCCTCAATGTAACTTTATTCTTGCAGTCTGGTTTATTTAACTATCTCTCTTTTGAACAATGAGCACATGCATGATTTATATTATGACATATTCTTATATTCAGTATTTTTAGGGCAAAAAATTAAAAACCATAAATCTGCTTAGAAAACCGATGCTCCTTATAACTCCACAACTTCTCTGTGAATCATGTTTTTCTTCAGTATCAATGACTGTCACTATCAAAGAAATCCAGAGCTGTCTCACTTTTATCTGAGGGGAAACCCAGGGAATTTTTAAACCACAGTTTTAGAAAGAATATGATCAAGTTGAGTTCTGACTCCTGCTGACACATGGTCGGACAGAACTGGGTTTTATTATAAACAGAAAATGGAAATCTGACAGATTGTCGTTTGATATCTTGATAACACTTTGCTGCTTGACCACACACACACACACACACACACACACACACACACACACACACACACACACACACACACACACACACACACACACACACACACACACTAAATCTATCTGCCCCCTTTCTTCAATCCTCTGTCTAATGTTCTTTTTCTATCACTCTCTGTTTTTATTTCTTCGTCCAACCTTATTTTCCTCCCTTGCTCTCGTTTTTTTGTCTCCCATCAAACCTCTCCCCATTTTCTCCTTGTCCGCCATCCGTCCCTCATTTTCTTGCCTCTCGTCTCTCTCAGGAACACGAGGAGAGCAGCAGAGGTGTGGATGGATGAGTATAAAAACTTTTACTACGCTGCCGTCCCCTCAGCGAGAAACGTCCCCTATGGAAAGTGAGTACCATGAAGAGCGAGCCCTACAGGAGGCAGAGGGCGTAATGTAACAAGATCGTGAAATTACAAAGGCAGCCATGTGATGGGCAGATTAATTGGATTACCAATCAGCAGTATGTCAGCTGTAAAATATATGACAGAAAGTTAATGTGGGTTAAAGAGGGCAAAAAGTCAAAAGACTGCTGTATTATTTGACATGCAGAAGGGATTACTGTAACGATGGTCACAATGCATTTGTAAAAATGAGCAAAGACCCATGAAATAGGGATTTATTTATAAATCAAACAGGCTTGTTATAGAGGTTTTATACATGTCATGCAACTGTATTTTTGAATTCATAAATTTTATGGTATTTTCTGCTACTTTATTTCACTTTATCTGTAAACTAGGTGACTTTTGTTCTGTGCACCACAACAATAAGTACTCTCACATCCATACAGAGCAGCTGTAAACTGTTATTTTCTGTGCAGGATGCCTCTTTTATCTGCCTTCACAGAATGTCTTAGATTTAATAAATGTTTTGAGAGACAGTTAGATCAAACCTCTAATTCTCTCACCGTCTCTTCTCCTCTCTTTTTTACTCTCTCTCTCTCTCTCTCTCTCTCTCTCTCTCTCAGTATCCAGAGTCGTATGGAGATGAAGAAGAGATTAGGATGCAAACCATTTAAATGGTACCTGGACAATGTCTATCCGGAACTACGGTAAGAGAATTGGAGCTTTTTCGACAAAATATGATAGGGGTATGGATATAATATTACGTAATAAGAACTTAATGACATTTAACAAAACTTCTGAGTGGCAGTTTCAGTATGACAAGAACTCAGTTGGTAAGAAACCGCAGCTCTGCCAGCAGTATCGGTATGACTGTGATCTCCTCTGTGCTGCCAGCTAAGGTTTCATACTTTAATAAAGCTCTCTAGGGTCTGTGATGACACTAATGACTAACTCAGACTAGCAATTATGACTCAGGCCCATTATTACATTTTGTCAGGTTTGCAATTTGTCACTTTCAGGAATGATATTATTAATTATGTATAAATATCACAGATCTAAATTTGAATAATTTCAGATGCAACAAGGTTATATTATTCTATTTGTTAGAATAAAATTGCTCACCATATTTAACGCAAACTGCTTTTTTCTTGTCTTTAGTGTTAGTTTACACTATTTACTTTTACATAATAAATCCTTAATATTTGGGGTGGGTGGAAAAAATAGAATCATGAAAGAATAGAGATTCCTATCTTCTAGGATTTCGATAGTGAGCCTACACACCAGAGCGAAGTTTCTCAAATAGAACTGTGTGATTGGTTAAAAAAACACAAAATAACAATTTTAAGGAAACTTATCATGCCAGTGTGACTAAGACTGTTGTTTTGTATACAATTCATTTTCTAAATTGGCCGCAAAAGGGCAGCTAGCCTAAGCCAATGAGTTGTTTTAATTTAACAGGCATCATTTATATATTCACCTTTTTTTTCTTGAAGTCAGTAAAAAACGTTCTAGTAAGAAGTGTACCTTAACGAAATCGAAATGGTACCTATTTGTTTCAGGTTTGCTGTGTTGTTTATACTGCACTCAGTTTAAATATCTTTTTAAGTATTAAAAACATAATCCTTTACACACTTTACTCTGCCTCCATGTTATCATTTGCCCACCGCCCTTTATTAGAGCACAGCGGACTGGAGTAGATGAAATTAGCAACCCTATGTACAGAGTGCAGAATCGTTTTGAATCCAATCGTGACCCCAAGAATCGAATTAAATCGTGAGAAACCGAACGATTCACACCCTACTTAATGTCTTAGATTTGATACAAACATGATGAGGGGAAATATTTAACAACACGGTGTCTGTGTGTGTTCAGTGTCCCGGACCACCAGGACATCGCGTTCGGAGCGCTGCAGCAGGGAGGAAACTGTCTGGACACTCTGGGCCACTTTGCTGACGGCGTGGTGGGCGTCTACGAATGCCACAACGCCGGAGGAAACCAGGTAGCGTTACTACGACGACACACACAGGTCAGCATGTCAGTTGCTTTGTTTTAAAGCCCCACGGTGGCAGCTGGTGACACTGGTGGTGAGAGAAGAGGGGGTATGGTATGGGATTTTACCAGATTCAATGTTGGTCTTTCAGTAACCCTGCACAAGATGCACTTTTTTAACTCCCACTCTACCTCATTGCATTTAGTCAATTAAGAAAACTGTCACTACTTTGCACACTTGTCTGATGCATACAGTGTCCCATGACGATGTAAAGCCAACATGCATCCGGAAGACAATTTTAACAGGTGTGGTGGTCTTACTGGGTAAACAGTTGTCATACCCATTGGCTTCTCAGGTCTGGTTTAATAACATCATTTTGCAAAAATTGCCACTTGACTTCAAATTAAAGTCTCAAATGTTCTCAAAATGAACTGCCACTCTTTTTTTTAGATATGTAAACGACAATATGGTTCTTTTGGCATAAATCTCCCTGTGATGAAATGCAGACACTGAAATAAAGTCTAAGTCCACCATCACTATGACATGTTGTTGTTTGTCAGATCTGCAAAGCACAAGCCATAACACAGCAACAACGTTCCTTTTTATTTCTTTTTGAATTTAAAAAAAGTTTAAATACTTGGAGAACATTGAAAGAAACGTTTTTTTTTTGTGGAAAAGGTTTCTTACTGAGCGTTCTTACTGATTGTTTTGATGTGCAGTACTTCAACGTGTACTGTGTATTAAGTTATAAGATAAAACATCAGATATCAACATTATATTAGCCAATGCTCCATATAAAATGAATTGCTCAGAACATCCCTAACTCCAGTGTTCGAATGTGTATCAAACTATAGTTTTAATTCAATTAATTTGTATAATCCAAAGGAGTGGGCCCTGACCAAGGATAAGTCTGTGAAGCACATGGACCTGTGTCTGACCGTGGTGGACCGCACGGCCGGCTCCCTCATCAAACTACAGGGCTGTCGAGAGAACGACAGCCGACAGGTAAACACGGTAATATAAGAACATCGAATACATATTATTGCACTTTTACATACATCATATATTATAACACAAACTGCCTCTATGTATGATCTCTACTGACATCTATAGCTATCAGTAGCTCTCACCTTGCTGCTTACGGTTTTAAGGATGATGTGCAATGTTTTGTGTGATAGAGATTTCTATGATGCCAGGGACCATATTGGAAAAAAGTGTTTACTCTTTAGAAATGAATAACCCTTTGACTGTTTCATCTTCTATATCTTTGATGAAAATGCTTTTAAGGTAGATTTATTCATAAGCATGTAAGGTTACAAAAACGAGGTTACGGATTTTTTGACCTCTGAATAATGCACATCATGTTTATTTTATGTGAAACCTTTTATGCTGAAGTCTTGGCAAGAATTCTGAATCTCAATACATTCTAGTTAAATGAGGATTAATTACTAATAAATAATTGAAACATTGTTGTGTCTCAGCAGAAATGGGAGCAGATTGAGTCCAACTCGAAGCTTCGTCACGTGGGTAGCAACCTCTGCCTGGACAGCCGCAATGCCAGGATGGGGGGCCTCACGGTGGAGGTCTGCAGCCCGAGCCTCAACCAGCAGTGGAAGTTCACCCTCAATCTACAATCATAGGGGGGGGGCTGCGGACCCTGGGAAGAGCTGGATGTTTGATAGAGACACCAACAGACTCTGAGACACGGATTAAGAGATGGAAAAAGACTGGATGGATAAACGGACCCCTCTCGCTCCTCGGAGGTGCAGCCAGTCTATACACCTCTCCCCTACCCTCACCCCTCCCAAAAGAGCCAAACCCACCAGGGGAGGGGCTTGTAGACGTTGCTGGAGTAAACAGGAAACGGACTGTATTTGTTGGATGAAAGGTGAAAATGATGATCATTATGAGGATAAAAGCGATGGAGCGACTTTCCATTCAAACTACATACCTCAGTGTTTTTTCATTGATGGTTCCAGAAGCAAATGTTGTTATTTTACGTTCTTTAATGCAGGTGAGGTAGAACCGTTTTTACTTTGAAATTATTTTATTATTAATATTTTGTATTGACTGCCGGTAACTCTCCGCGGAGGTTTCACAGGAACTCTTTTTTTCGTTTTCTTAAAGGAAGGGGACATTAATGTTGTTGTTCCTTTGGGCTTTCTCTCTGTTTCACCACGCCGAGCCGGAGCCTGTAAAGGCAGGTGGAGGCTTCATGTTGAGGTCTGGGCGTAGAGTGATATGAAGGCTGGAAATGGACTCAACTCCTTGAGCTTTTCCTCTTATCATTAGTTCACAGGATCATTGGAGGAAAGAGAGCCACAGTGGAGAGAAGAAGCTGTGTGTTCTGCTTTGGTTCCTACACAGTTTCTTCTGCAGATTGGGTCTTGGGGAAAGGGGAAAGGGGTTAAGGGAGAAGCTTCTCTGCTTTGGTCGGGGCCTGAAACTGGTTTGGTTTGGCCGGAAGTTCAAAACCCGAAACCAGGAAGTGTCTTGAAGCCACCCCTCAGGGTTTACTGTTTGTCGTCGGGCTGTCGCACTGGCTGCCGCAGCATCTTCATGTCTACCCCATTATGTCTCTTTGAAAAAACAACTCTCTTAACACTCTTCTTTTGTCACACAAATAATGGAACCAAATTTTGATTGGATGTTTTTGTTTCAGGAATACGAGAACTTTGATTAAAAGGGTTTTTCTTCACAAGCTCTCGCTGCATTCTAACTGCTCCCTGCTGAGCCGCTTAATTTATACATCTCCTTTCCTGCACAGATCATTTTCTTTGTGTCTAATATTGCCATTTAGGGATGTTTACTGTCACACCCACCTGGATTTCATGTTGCAGTTTTACCAACTGGTTATGGCTGCAAAGGTACTACCGACATTTATCTATAATATTACCACAAGCAGATATCTTCCCAACTGAGATGTTTTTTTTACCTGATTTCAACACACACCTGCCTGCTCTTGTCCGGCAATAGAAGGAAACACTAATGTGTGGCAGACACCCAATGTCCATCTTTCTTATTGACAAAGTAAAACGTTGCTTATTCCAGCCTCCAGAACAGTTTTTATGCAAAAAGATAGAGGCATGTGTTCTGAGCTGCATGTATCACCAGCCAGCTCCCCCACTTACAGTCGGTCGGTAGTGTCTCCATCAACATGTCTTTCTTTCCTTCATTGTGCCTGTTGGATGAACCATCTGTTCTGAGGTTTGGATCTGTAATAAACAAGGTTTCACTGTTTGCCCCCCACTCTGTTCTGCTGCAGGTGAGCAGATCTTTCTGATTGCACAGGCAGGACTGCTCAGTTTCTGCTGATACAAAGTACTGAGGAGAACACCTTTTCTTTATTTTGACGAGCACCTTTATTCTGAGGAACAAGGTTTCGGTGTCCCCGAACCGCATTGTGCCACATCTTCATCTTTTGTTTCCTGATAGTGTTACTGATGCCAGTTACAGTTCATACATCTGTGTGCTAATCCATTACCTGACGCCTGTTTTGCATCTTTGCAACAATAGTCTCTCCTCGCCTTCAACACAGGTTCCTCTTAGCTGCTATGATTCTCTGTACTGGTAGTCACTGATGAGTCATGAAGGTACAATTTGGGAAAATCGTTTCGATTAAATTCAGAGCGACTCATCACTTGGCAGATTCAAGGCAACATGAACACAAAACATCTTTAAGCATACTGTACAACACAAATTGCCTATAATAATCAACTATTTCCTAGTTTAGTCTAGAAAGAGGTTGCATCCTCAAGTGTTGTTTTAATGTCAAATATCCTCTCTGTATCCCTCTCTCATTTTCACATCTGTTCTCTTGATTTTTGTTTTACTGTGTTACGGTAACAGACAAAGACAGCTGCTCATATTTACTGGGTTGTCTGGTTCTTTTCCATCCTCCGTTTCCATCCCATTGTTTGTTTTTCTACCATTTTGTTCCTTGTACCTGATGTTTACCTTGTCTTCAACATTCACACGACTGTAGACAGAGTGAGGGGCGAAGTGAAGGTCAGATCATACTGCAGCTGGATTCAAAATCATATCCTTAGACTTGACGTGTCGCTGCATTGTGCTGCGAGGTGTGACTAGATGTGAGGAACGTTTTCTGTTGCTATGGTGACCAGGCTCAATGGCCCCAAGTCTGGTTTCCGTTTATTTTTGTGTTGAGCAGCAGGTGGATTTACCGCTCCTGTTATGTCTTAAATTCAGATTAAGTAGAAGATTGTTACAAATCAATAATTGTAATATTGAAGGACTAATAGAAATTAAAGTAAACAATATATATCTTATAACCAGTTGTTCCTTAACATCTCCTTTATGTGCATTACAACAGTGCCTCAGGTTTTAATTCAGTAATGGGGTAGATACATATGTTGTAGCCCCCACATTTAGTATCTTTTGACTACAAATTGTGTGGTAATCCTCAGAAACTACGTACAAAAGTCTTAAATTATGTTCACTATAAGAACCCAAAACTCTGAGCTATTCATTGTCAAAGCGTCTGGCCCTTGTCCTATGTTGTGAGGATAAAATGCTGAGGTTTTTAATGGTGTATAGCGCCCTCTATTGTGGATAACAGCTATACAAAAAGGGACTAAAGGTATTAAACTTCTAATGCACAATGCACCAACGGGGACATTCCAAGATTTTTCTTAATCAAATTTTCTTCAGCTTTTTTCTATTATTAAAGTCTTAATCAAGCCCTGATAAAATAGCCAGCTGGTACAATCTTAACAGGCGTGAGAATCTAACTGCTAACCCCAGAGAGTGGTTGGTAATGCTGTGTGTTACAACTGTTCAGATATGTTGTTTGAAGCCTTTTCTTTGTAAAACCAGTCTTATTCTTGTGAAGATGAAAGAATTCTATTTTATTTGTTTGTTCTACGCATTTTGATTGGATTATTCAATGTTTACATCTTTAGCACTATGTGCCAAAGTTTTCCTTCCTATTTTCTCTGTATGAGGAAGAATGAGAAGGGGTAAAAGTCATTGGAAATGCTGTCGCAAAGAACTGAATGCAAACTGCAGATGGTATATGTTGTGTATCTCATTCTTCTTCCTAGTCCCAGTTAGACCTGCAGGACACACTGGGGCGTGTACGTCTCTAAGATGATGATGGTGTTGGTCTTATAATGGACACAGGTTGCAAATGTTTCATGTCTTTAGATGTGTCTTCAAAAAGTCTGTTGTAGCAGAACTAACTCTGTGTGTTAGCTTAAAGCTAAATTCTAAAGGAGAACGAATGTTGTCAATATTGTAGACATGTATTATTAGAAAATACTTCACCCACAAAATTGATACGTACATAAATTAATCGCCACCGTTTTTCTCAAATGCCTCAACGGTGAAAGCGGAATCAAAATACAGAGACATTTCTTGATTAATTGTAATAAATGGGAGCTGTGTTAACATGGGCTGAATTATTAATTATTATTATTATAATAATTATAATTATGTGGTTTTAGTATTTCTTTAAAAGGAGGTGTATAACTGGTCACCAGTCAGTGAGCAAGAGCATTTCCCCAGCTGAGCAAGTAGGACTTTATTCATACTGTGTTTGGTGAACTATGAAGGTGAGCGCTGTGTTCTCTCAGCCTTTTACCTCAAATGGGAAGCAGAGTTATTTCATGATTCTTCCTCAGCCCACCTTAAATCCTCTTTTAGGGTTTACAGAAGAGTCCACTCTGATAAGTGAAAGCCCTGCGGAGACATCCAGCTCAGGACTGCTTAAGCTTCCCATCTTTTGCTACCAGTTTCAGTCACAGTGTGTGTGAATCCAGACATGAGAGGGGCTTTGGACAAAATACTCTTCCCTTCAACCATGAAAGATATAAGGTGCAACAGTAATCAATGAACTACAGGGGTGGTGATGTGTTTTCTAAGAGGAGTGTGGCTTCATTGGAGGACAGTGGTGGGTGTTATGGCAAGAAACATGTAAAAGTGTATATTTTTGTATATACCTACATCAGTGTGTGTACAGTATGTACATATATACACAGTGTACTCAGCCGCGGTTCCTAGTTTTGTTGTCAGACTGTACAGCGCTTCTAACTGTCCCCTGTTTTATAGATTCTGCAGAAATTCAACTTTGAATGAGGAGAAATGATTAACTTAAATAAATGCATTTATATATAAAACTGTGTCGAGTATTTTGGTCCGCTTCAGTGGTTGATGGTGCATGATCGCAAAAATGTCACTAACACGATTCATACCCAGAGAATATTGAAGTTTCTGTTTCAGTAATGCAGCTGTGTAACTGGACCACTATCTGCAAAAAACAAAGTGTTTTTCATGCATTATGAAACAAATACCAACAATTAAAGAAATTTTTTCCATACATCAATCAAATGTTTCTCTAATTTGGATCTTAAATTGAGTGAATGGCAGCATTTGTCAACTTTGAAATAGAAATTCTGGTAGACCTTTTTGAATGAATAAATTACATATTGTGGTCATTATAACTGCATGATAAACAGTTCAAATGTGATGAATAATGTAAAAGTCTGTTAAGCCTCAAATTTCTGAAAAATGCAGATTGGTGATGTTTTCTCTGGCAGATGTGTTACTGGGGCAAATACTTCAAAAACACAATGAAGTGACAAATGTATAATGAGATGTGCATCATATGAACAAATGCTTGTTTACTTCATGTTTGAAATGTAATTCAAGTTTTAGTCCTGTATTCTATACTCTTGGTCCTGTAATCTGCTGTTTACAGGAGAGGGTCGGTGAAAAACATAAAGCAGTTTAACAAGATTTTGTATTAAAAGCAGGCAAGAATAGTGGAAAGTAGCACATGAAATGCAAGAAATCTTTACAAAACAATGTGATGCGGACGATCACCAATTAAAACATAGAATATTATAACATTAGAAAATGAATATAGATCGAACCAAAAGGGACACACTATGACAAAACAAAACAAATGAGAGCAGACAATTAAAGTAATTAATGTTAATTCATTTGCTTGCAGTGCACAGGGGGTGAATGTACTCTACTCAAGTACTTTAGTATGTTGAAGAACATGTACTGGAATGGAACATTTCCATTTTGCTTATACTTTTATTCCACAAAATGTGTGTGACAGCTAAAGTTACTTCAGATCACAATTATTCATTATTTTCCTTTCCAGTGAAAACTTTCCAGATGTGGTTATTAATTCAAGGGTAAAGTTCTCCCTTGTGTGTTGAGAAAATGGTGGTACTTTTTAATGTCAGTAAGCAAACAAAATACTATGAGCCAGCAACAATATACATCAAACGTTTACTGATAAAATAACTATGTATGTTATCACTGACAGAGCATCAGTAGGCCTAATTCATTGTTCACTACACCTAACAGTGGACTACAGTAGTGCACACCAGTAGCTGTCTGTGAGGTCTCCTCTCCGGCAGGGGGCGCTGAGAGCCGCCCGGACACCCAGAGGACCGGAGAAGAAGCCAGGGCTCAGGGCAGAAGCTGATTAGAGGAACAGCCAGCAGACACAGGTGGTGGTCGGTGGCATCTGACAGGAGAACAATAAATAGACAAAACAATATGAACGAAGGTATAGAGGGGACGGAGCGGTTCCTGAGCCCGGGCAGCGGCAGGGGCCTGCGGGCGGTGAGGCACTTCTCTGCGGGGGAGCTGGTGTTCGCCTGCCCGGCTTACTCGTACGTGTTGACGGTGAATGAGAGGGAAGCACACTGTGAGAACTGCTTCTCCAGGTAACACCTTACCTCCATAACACAGCTGGGAAAACACCTCTGAGACGGCTAGCTCCAGGGTGTTGTGTTTTATTGTGTTCTTTTATTAAAGCAAAGAAAGGGACTGAAGGGTCCAGATGGACGCAGGCTAACCTCCATGCATAGCTAGGTTAGCTTGTGAACCTCTGCAGACTTAAGTGGGTCAACCGTGCAGGCAGTAGCTCACCTGACTGACTCTGCAGAATGTCTTCAATGCACTGCCGTCAGGAGAGCCTAAAATAGATGCAAACATTAGTAGTAGTGGTTATAAAGAAACCTGCTTCCCTGTTGTACCAATGAGTCTATTTATATGCTAGCACACATTCTTAAATAGGCTACTCACAATTACAGGTAGTGCAGGAAGAAATATTGACAAATGTCACTTAAGTAACAGTATCTGTTACCATTGAAAGTACTGCATTCAAAATGTGTATTAAGTACCTAAAGTAAAATCATGCAGGATGAAACATTTCTTAATCATAAATATTGCATTGCTGGATTACCATTTTTACATTTGTTATTATCCAATAATGTGTTTATCACTTTAGTAGTGTAGTCAATGAAGGTGGGGCTCATAATATTCCCTTTTTACACTGATAGGTATCTTAACATATCAATAATTTATGGTTGAGTTACATTATGTTTTAAGATTATGAGAAAAATATACAATATATCCTTGTGAATTAATGTGAAGTAGAAGTATAAAGTAAAATAAAATGGACACACTCAAGTCAAGTACCGCAAAGTTTCACAGTATTTTAATAAATGTATTTAGTTATAAATTACCACTGATAACGGGTAGTTAGCTCACTTAAAGAGTCACTTCAGTCATGTTCTAACGTTTCTTTGTAGTATCACATTTCTGACTTCACCACCACACTTCAAGTACTCTCTGTTTATCTCTACGAATCCTACACATGCTTTTATGAACCTAAAAGTCAATGCAAGAAAGACAACCCAGTCTATTATATAATGTTCTATATATGTTATTTTTAAGTATAAAGTTTAGTGTGTGTGTGTGTGTGTGTGTGTGTGTGTGTGTGTGTGTGTGTGTGTGTGTGTGTGTGTGTGTGTGTGGCTCTTTTTGAGACTTTTTAGAGTTAAATGAACTCTCCCTCTCTGTCTGCCACTTTCATTCACACATGCTTCCTACTCAAGCTGCCGTTAAGTTTTGTAGAGCAGTAAAAGGTTAGGGTGCTAAATATAGTTGTCCATGTGTCCGAAGACAGGTGGAGGGGTAAGAGTCCAATGGAGGTGGTGGACATGTGTGTACATCTGTTCATAATCACTCAGAAACACTCTATGAATGTGTCTCCTGCTGAGATAATCCTTAATCACTTGTGTTAAACAACTGATTTGACTGGAATGGAATTGGCTTGTAATTCATTTGGAAAGTTTTATGCATATGGAGTAGTTATTTATAAAAGGTTTTGGCAACTTATTACTTGCTGTTGTTGTTTCAGCTTATTTGTTATTAATTTGTGTATTCCTGCTTTTGTCACATGATTAAAGCAAACCTACAAGACTTTCTGTTTAACAATGAATATGCCAAGTTTCTAAAACATTTGTTTTTAATCCCACGGTTAGCAACTGTAAGCATCAGGTAAAGACTTCTCCCCAGCTGAAGGAGTGTGTTATTTCATGTAGATGAATACGTTTATATCCTGCGGAAATACTGTTACACCGACACATTCATCACATCTGTAGTGGAGTAACGTGTTGTGTCTTCATGTCGTTGCAGGAGAGAAGACCTTTTTAAGTGTGGAAAATGTAAGCAGGCCCACTACTGCAATGTAGAGTGTCAGGTAAGAGTGCTTTCTGCTTCCCTTTTTGAATTTTCATGGCAGGCTTGTTGTTTCTATTTGCAGATATGTGTACCAATTGATATGGTCAACTGAAGGAACTGAACACAAACAGGTTGATCTGTTACATCAAAATGTTGCACAATTTAAAATTGCTGAAAAACACAATGCGCAGATTTTTCGTGCGATTGTTAACTAAAGAAAATGAAATAATATAAGTAATGTTTAGTTAAAAAAATATGTCTTAAAAATCTTCTTAATTCTTTGTTCTTGTAACCTACATTTGAACGTTGGACCCCACAGCTCCATGCAGGCACACATTTAAACTGCTGTTGCTATGACGATTCAGTCTATCCGCCCTCTGCCTCTGTCTAGTTTTAGTTTCATGTCATAAAACACACTCGGCACACTGCAGTAAAAGTAAGGAGTTTTCTATTGTCTTATACAAATGCAACGGCCAATAATTTATAGATGATAATACAAATAATTTATCATCCATTGTGTTAATTTAAGTTGCTCTGTCTTCTTGTCTCGCATTATTGCTTTTGTCTCTCAAGTATTGTCCTGTTGAATGAGATGAATTGCTGTAATAAAGGAGGGTTACCAACTGTTCTCCATGTGTGTGTTATTTGTGCAGAGAAGCGATTGGACCATGCATAAGCTGGAGTGTGTAGCTATGTGTGCCTATGGGGAGAACTGGTGTCCATCAGAGACTGTCCGACTGGTGGCTCGAATCATCCTCAAACAGGTACATTAACAAGAAAAACAAGTATGTGTTAGCAACCAGTTAACCATAAGAGTTAATATGGTATTTCCCCGTCATCACCAGAGCATGGAAAACTAAAAGTAGGAACGTTAAAGAAGATAACGAGTCAAATAATATAAGTAGCTGTTCAGATATAATGTAAATGTCATGAGCTAGATCTTATTTTAGTCAATAAACCAGCTCTGAGCCGCTGGAGAAACAATGCATCAACTTAACTGATCTCAGTTTAATTTGATACTTTTGCATGAGTAATGTTAGAGGTGTATAATTAGTTTAAGTTAATCAGCTTTGACCACATTAAACACGCTCTGAGCGAGTTAAAACAATAACACAAAGCACTACTACTACAAACTATACTTTGGCAACGTGAACATAGCCTTCTTATTGTAATAGTTGACGTCTGTGTTTAAAGTAAATGTTAGTGCCATTTAACACCAAAGTTTCTGAAGCCGATGCTGCTTTCTTGCACTTAAAAAAACAACAACATTTGCGATAATAAAGCCTAGAAAAAGGTTGTTTTTATTTTCATGATTATTCATTTAAATGTCTGTCATGTTGCAGAGAGTAACACCAGAGCGCGACCCTTCTGAAAGGCTGCTACTGCTCAGCGAGTTTGAAGCCCGTAAGTAGATATATATATATATGTGTGTGTGTGTCTGTGTGTCTGTGTGTGTAGGAGTATATGAGCATGCACATGTTAGTTACATCTGTGTGTTCTTTTAGTTACATGTTATGTGTGAGTGTGTGAGTGTTCTGTGTCTCTTCAGTTATAGCAGTGTCTCTATATATATCCTCTGCTGTAGCCTCCGGTCCTGGTTCTGTCTCTTTTTATTCACTCACAGGCTCCAGAGCTCTGGGATTTAAATCCCAAGGTTCTGGGTGCTGTAATTTCATTTTCTCTATGCTCCGTTTAAAATCTACTGCCACTGTGCCCTTGGGCTAGGTACTGAACCCTCATTTTGGGGAGACAGATTGTACTGAGAAGCTCTTTCGTGATAACATATGTGCTCCGTATTCGTTGTCAGCCGATAATTACACACAATGGTTGTGGTGAGAAAATCAAACGCTGTGTAAATAAGAGATGAAACTGTTACCTGATTTGCCATAAACCATGGTTAAATTGCCAACGACTAGTATAAATGTTTCATCTTTAAAATGAACCATTATAGCAATGTTTCATTACCAAGATTTAGATACTGTGCAGCATTTTGCAGGGAATTGTGTGTGTGCACGAGTGCATTAAATGACTATTATATAAGTAAATATAAGATAAATAACTTTTAATCATACCATATTTATACAGATATCCGTGATAATTTTGGTCGCTATTAATGTAAAATTTGGTTTTCACAACGTTTCATTTATTGACCAATTCAAGATTTATAGCATAATCATACACAGTAAGTTAATGAAGGATGGGTACAAAGAGTGTTTGTCAAAATACACATTAATGGGACTGTGTTTCATGTAAGTGCCCGCAAACAGTTTTCTCCTCTCCATTTGCTGTTATCATTTAGTCTAAACTGTTGTTGCAGACTCAATGTGTCATCAGAGGATTGTCACATAATTAACCTTCACGCCTGACCCTCATGCACATAAAGTGTGTGTGTGTGTGTGTGTGTGTGTGTGTGTGTGTGTGTGTGTGTGTGTGTGTGTGTGTGTGTGTGTGTGTGTGTGTGTGTGTGTGTGTGTGTGTGTGTGTGTGTCTCTGGATGTGTCTCTGGATGTGTGGATGTGTCTCTGGATGTGTGTGTGACTGACAACGACACATGACCTATACTGCAGCAGTGGAATGCTACACCCACTAACACTGACTGCTTCTTTTGTGAAGCAACTGCAACAGAAAAGCACTCTGTATGATAATAATAATAGATTTATTTTGTTAGCGCTTTTACAGATGCTCAAAGTCGCTTTACAAAGATAGTGAAAAGAAAAGAACAACAAATAAATATAGTTAAAGTCAAATCAAAATCAAGCAATACAAAAACAATCACACATTAAAAGCCAGATTGAAGAGGTGAGTTTTTTGAAGGTGGTGAGGTCTGATGGGATGGGGGAGTGAGTTCCAGAGGGAGGGGGCAGCAACGGAGAAGGCTCTGTCCCCCCATGTCCGGTGATTGATGTGGGTGGGGATGGATTGGAGGTTGGCTTCTGATGGTCGGAGGCAGCGGGAAGGGGTGTGGTGGTGCAGCAGGTCTGTGAGGTGGGGGGGGGGGCCTGATTGTTGAGGGCTTTGTGAGTTATGAGCAGGACTTTGAAGTGGATTCTTTGACGTATGAATAGTAAAGGTTATGTTTAATATCTGTTAATGTATCAGACTCCCACCTAACAGTGTTGTTTGTTTAGTTGGCCCTCATGCTTCTCTTTTACCAGTCCCTATTTTCTAAAATGGAAGGACTGCCTTAAACTCTTATAAGAACTAAAGTCTTATGTCCAGCTGGTGGCCAAAAAACTCCAATGTTCAAGCGCCTTCTTTTTCTCTCCACCTTTTGGTTTTTATACTCTGTCGACATCCTGCCTGTCTTTGTTGTCTCTTACTCTTTCTCTGTCTGTGTTCATTGCCTTTTTTCAGATTTAGATAAGATGGACAGTGAGAAGGACGAGATGAACAATGCAGACATAGCAGCGCTGCACCACTTTTACTCCAAACACATCAGTGATATTCCAGGCGATCAGGCTCTCACTGAACTATTTGCACAGGTACAATTCTACAGCGCTTTGTCGTTCCCACCTAGAAATCCACTGCCAAATAAACTCTGTGATCCTAGAAGGATCCTGGACCTCCGGTGTGTTTTGTAACCGTTGTTTGATTAGTTAGGAGAGAGGTTTTCGCTGGCACATTGACAGCTGTTGACTTTTCTCAATCTCATAATTGCAACGTACACAAAAGAGATAACATGTTCACTCATTACTCATACTCAAAGCATGCTAAACCCAAGTGTTACCAATAATGGAAAAAAACTAAACTATTTTACTTTCTGTACTTAAACTTATATAGTCATTCAGGGCTTCCTAGTTGCACAGAAGAGCACATGATTTCATGTTTTTACAGGTTCAGATTAGGGCCAAATGTTTGGATAAAAGTTAAGAAGAATAAAAGGATTTTGATGATATATCACTATTTCAACCGTAGAAGCTTTTTTCACACATTATTTGGGTAACAAGTTCATAACATTTCTCAGTTTGAAATGTTCTCTCTATGACAAATGTTGTTGGGTTCAGAGTGTTGCTTGTGGTTTCTATTTCTCACATGGTTGTCATTCACTTGTTATCGGATACACATGTAAGCAAACTAGAATCTATGTCACACACACACACACACACACACTACAGCGGTCACACACACACACACACACACACACACACACACACACACACACACACACACACACACACACACACACACACACTACAGCGGTTAGCCCTTTAATTTGATCCGTCTGTCAGTGCTGCTTTCCTCTTTCTCTCTAAGCTTCACCAACAGCCCTGTTGTCTTCCCTTTAAAAGCAACATTCAATCCCCACTACCGGATTTCCTCCTCATTAGAGCAGGCATTACAGCACATTATACAAATATCATACTCAAATATATTATTCATATCTTAGTACTCACCCTGCTGTTCTCTCTTCAGCTGTTTGTTTGTGTCTTCTTTCTTTCTGGCTCCATTTCTTCTTTCGCTCCCATTTCTATTCTTCTTTCTTGTCTCCAGGTTAACTGTAATGGTTTCACCATAGAGGATGAGGAGCTCTCCCATCTGGGATCAGCTGTTTTTCCAGAGTAAGTAGTCAATGTGACACATCATCAACAGTCCATCCAATAATCAGTGTATTTCACTTTTTAATATGACTCATCTGCTTTGGATTTGCTTTATTTGTTTTATTGTAGGTGTTTATTCCCAACATTAAAGAGATGCTTAAAGGTGGGGTAGGTAATTTTGGAGAAACCAGCTCGAGTGCAAATTTTAAAATATACAACCGGAAAAAATCTGCCACTTCCTTACAGAGCCCCTCCTCCAACACACACGAACGCGCACGAGATAAGTTTGTGCACAGATGGAAGGCTGACAGGCAGGTAGGCCATCCAGTTATTTTAGCCGGGCCGGCTAAAATGATTGGTCGTGCTTTTTACAGTACTACGGCTTCCACAGATGACATTTTTTTATGGATCTTTTGTCAAAGCACTTCAGATATTCATTGCTATCGGGATGTTAAGAGCATTCCATGGAATATAACAAAAAGTGTATCTCGAGCCGGTTTCTCAAACTTACCTACCCCACCTTTAATGTTATTATTTCTCTGATTTCATTTTTTTTTTTTAAACCGTTGTGCTTCTCCTCCTTTCCTTTTCCTTGTAGTGTAGCACTGATGAATCACAGCTGTAGTCCTAATGTCATCGTGACCTATAAAGGCACAGTGGCAGAGGTCAGAGCAATCAGAGAGATAGACCCTGGAGATGAAGTAAGTGGACAATGGACTAATCACACAACAAAGATACCTCTCAGTGACAGCAATGCTGATAACACTCACAATCATGTAGAGAAACAAGAAAGGCTTATTTCTGTCATTATTAGATGTTCTTCCCCCTCTCCCTCTGTAGGTCTTTAACAGCTACATAGACCTGCTCTATCCAACAGAAGACAGGAAAGAGAGGTTGTTAGATTCCTACTTCTTCTCATGCCAGTGTACTGAGTGCACCTCCAAGTCTAAGGTATGATAGCCTTATCTGTCTCAAGTTTTTTTTGTCTATATTGTTGCCCCCATTAGCCAGTAAATATTAATTACCATTTGGCAGAGACCACTGCGTAGGAGCAGCAGATTGTAGAATATAACGTAATCCAACGTTTCTGGAGTACGTGCTTTGAGCTGTTTGGGTTTATGACAGTTAAATAAAAACAATAGTTCTCCAGTCTTTATCTTATTCTTTTGGAAATTAGACCAAACTTGTGGAAACATGTATCTGGTATCAATAATCAACAGTTTTGCCTTTGGAAAAATGTGAAAATCGTATCTAGTTTGTCATTTCCAGCTTTGAGTAGCTCCCATTGTGCATAACTCCCTTAATGGTTTAGATTACCTTATGTATGATATGTTTCCGTGAAATTGATCCTCAAATCATTCCCTTTATTTTCTTTCTAGGACAAAGCAAAAATGGAGACCAGGAAGCTGAGTTCTCCACCAGAGCCAGAGAAAATCAAAGCCATGGTCCATTACGCCAAGATTGTGATCGAGGAGTTCAGGAGAGCCAAACACTACAAAAATATCCTCTTCCTCGGTTTACAACTGCATTTCTCTTACATTTCCACTCCGTTTTCAACCTTTCACTTCCCAGCCTCCTTTTCTTCTTCTAAGCATTGTTTGTGTCATTATTCCTTGACTCTGGCACCCCCCAGTGAGCTGCTTGAGATTTGTGAGCTCAGCCTGGAGAAGATGGGAGCGATATTTGCAGACACAAACGTGTACATGCTGCACATGATGTATCAGGCCATGGGAGTCTGCCTCTACATGCAGGACTGGGACGGAGCGTTGAGATACGGAGAGAAGATCGTTCAGCCGTACAGGTGAATTCATCTTTGGGGGATCTGTATAGAATCAGGATTGAAGTTACAATAGATCCTTATAAGAAGTAACAATGAGTTACAACGGCGACACAATCTTTAAACAAAGAAGTGGGTGGTAAAGCCCTGTAGAAACACTCCAGTATTGAAATGCATTTATGACATTTCCAGGCAAAATATGCTAAGAATATGTATTTTATTCCTATTTTACTGCTTTAATTAAATGATTTAACTGGACTTTGCCGCTTAAAATAATACAATATGACTTTAACCTTTCTCCCCATGAAGAGTTCTCTGTCCTGCTTACAATATACAGTATGTACTCTACAACAGATGTTATATTGGGTTGTTTGAATACACTCACACTCAACATATTTCCCTCTGTGTTACACAACACTCCACAACATCTGAAATATCTTTCATATTTTGCTGTTGAACTCTACTAGTTTTATATGTTCTGAACTTGTATAGTACAACAACAAAACCCGTTGTAACATCAATCAACATTGTTTCATCTCGCATTCACAGCTTGATGTGATGTATAAATAATGTTCTCTCTGCAGCGTTCACTACCCGGCCTACTCTCTGAACGTGGCGTCTATGTATTTAAAACTGGGACGTCTGTATTTGGGGCTGGAGAAGAAGAAACAAGGAATCAGAGCTTTGAAGAGGGTACGTTTACTGACATCTGGACATTATGCATACCAACTCATTTGTGCTTTTGTCAAACAATATTTCACTTTATTGTATGAAATAACGATAGTCCCATGCACCCAAGGACTTAATACAGTATGATTTTTAAAAAATGACTTTATCTCATAATATACAAAAAAACAATCAAGTATTTAGAACCTATGAACTGGTAATAATATAATCGAAAATCTAAACTATGCACAGACATTTAGCGTAAAAAAACAACAATCACAACAAATGGTTTGGTGCATTTTTCCATATAATTCTAAATATAGTCATACTGTAGGGCACAAATTAGTTATTATTTGGCAAAGTGAATACAGAACATTAAAGTAAAATTAAAAGCATTAAATAAGTGAGCAGAAATGTAGACATATTAGGTAAGTCCGTTTCTTCATGAATTTTGATGTCCTACCTACGCTGTACGAATGTTTAGGAAACAAAACACATCACACATTTGTAATCTCTAGTTATTCCAAATATTGTAGTTTCTATGATTTTCATGCTTTTCTGTTTTCAGGCTGTTGCCATCATGGAGATGGCTCATGGGAAAGATCACAATTATGTAGCGGAAGTCAAACGGGAAATCGAGGAGCAGAAATAAACAATGAGTTTAAAGAGAGACGCACTGGAATAAGGAACCTCTCTTTAAAACAGCAACAACAAAAAGAAACATCACAAACGCATGCTATGCATCTTATACCTCTCTGTTTTATGGTCACCCACTTTATTGTTTTTCTTGCCTGATGGGTTTTTTTCATGTCTTTTTTTCAACACTTTATGTGACGATAATCATGTTTTCTACCTGAAACTCCACACTTCCTGTCAGACCTGGAGTCAAAGCAAACAAATAATGGTAAAAATGTTTGGAATGAAAAAAAGTGACTTAAATACTTTCTTACTGTGTGCTAAAACTCAATAAACCCATTCAACGCGATAAAAACATAACTTAAATCTGCCTTTTAAAGCTGTCTTTTCGGGGAAGCACCCCTTTCATTTGAACGCCACATAAACTACATGTTCTGCCTGTGTTCATTACACCCATCAACCCACGTGTTTCATCATCATTTATGTCTTCGTCAGCCGTTTCAGATGCACAGTTGTCCTCCAGAGAAATTGTTTAATGATTTGGACTTCTGTACAAGCTGGTAGTTGTTATAAAGGGCATTATACTGATACCCAGCCAATACATTTTATTCTATCAAACTGATTAGCTGGCTTCATAGGTTCTTATTTAAAATGTAAAAATATGAGGACTGACCATGCATCAGATACTCTGTAGCAACGGAGAAGAGAATGCAAAGAACTTTTCCTAAATGAATAACAAGTGGTTTGTTTGTCTTGTTTTAAAGAACCAGAAAAAGTGTTGCATGTTTCTGTAAAAAATGTTTCATATGAGCCTTGTTGACCAAAGGGGCCATGGGTTATTCTGATAGGAACCAGCTATAATCCTCTATTCACAGTCTATCCTTAAATAGGGGTGCTGATCTGAGACCATGCTGCTTCTTAAATCCCAGTGAGGACATTTGAACCATTACCTGACCAATGATCCTGGGTCAAGGCTCTCAGGAAAAAAGGAACAACACGGTAGCTTTTGTTGCCTTTTGTCTAGAAATGCATTATTGTACCTTGTTTTTTAAGCAGCATGAATGCAGATTGTCATTACCTTGGGAATGAAATTTCTTAAGCACCTGAGGGCAGATTTTTAACACGCAGTATTTATTTTAGACGCAGGTGATCATTTCAGAGGTATCATCCTCACAAACTTTGAATTTTATGAACATTATTTAAAAATAAATTGTATCTCCCCCTATATTTACCTGCATGGTTGTCAAATCATGTTGACAACCAGGATTTTCAGAGATGCTCAAAGTGTTTCTTGTGTTTAATTGTTTTCAAAGAACCCTGACATCATTAGAAAAAAGGAGCAGTTACATGTTGTAAAACTGTCTCTCTTATGAGTGAGCATGCAGTGTGTCAAGGTGGCTTTCAGAAGTTTGAACTTGAGGCAATGCCAAGATCATCACCTAGGCCTTATGTTAGGGTTCTAGTTGCACTAAATCTTTTTACAATTTCTGTGACAAAATGATGTCAAAATGACATGTAAGCACATTTTGTTATGTTTTCTTAATTTATGTTCATGGACAGTTGGCCTTGCTGTCTTCACATCATGCCCCACCAGAGAAACTACAGTTATATCTAATTCCTTTATTCTTTTAAAAAGCTGTTGCTTCTCCCTTTTGCTTACATTTGACTATGGACGCAGTCTTATGCATGGGTTACTGAGGGTTAGTATTCCCTTGAGTATGAGTCGCCTCATATTTGTAGCAACCTCTCCAGAGGTGACACTTTTTGTAATCTGCAAAGGTGCATCTAAGGTGCCTGCCTTTTGCATACAACATGTCATTCAAAAGGTCTGTTCCAATGTTTGTTTTATAAATGAAAAGGGGTTTGAATTCTGCACAAACCATAAAATATCAAAACCCTCAGTTTGTCAGATTTTCGCACTTCATTTTCAGCCAGACTGTAGGAACATGCATTTGATTGGTTTTCTGTCATGAAGAAAAAGCATGTTGCACATAACAGTCAAATCCATGCTCATGCTGCACAAAAAAAACAGATTAAAGGCTTTTCTGCATTTCTGTGATGACTTTTTACTTTATGAGGCATGAATGTTATGCATAACTAAATCTGAACCTCTGATTCTTTATTTATTATGTCACTGATACTCAATAAAGGGCAGTATGGCACTTGCTTCAAATTTATACCTCTTTATTTCTGTTTACCTTTATTTAACCAGAAAGTCTCTCAAATACATTATCCCTTTCAGAAAAGAGACTTGCACACAATTGCAGTGTTCTGAACCACCACTATGTTTGTATAAACATCAGAGTTGTCCTTTATCTACATTCAAATTAGTCTCAGGAAATCCTACCCCGCCCATACCAACTGATTTCCAAAAGATCTGAGGCAGATTTACTTCAGTCAACTGTTACAGTACTTCTAGACTGTTTAGTAGGCTTACTTTTTCATCATGCTTGGCAGAAGATCGTTTTCCTTAGTCCGCTTTGCAGATTTTATATATAGATATATAGATATATCTATATATATATTTATATATTGTAGGATCTCAAATATTTAAGTTACAATGTAAAATGTAGTCTTAACTTGGCTCAAGCTCAAGACGAGCTTGTCATCCCGACCTAAAGTGTATGTATCGTGGAAAACAACGAATAAGTTAGAAGTTATTTCAAAAGTCTATCTGGAGAAGACGTCCAGATATAATAAAGAGACGAAATATAAAAATGACCTTTCTTTTTTGTTGTTACATTCACCTCTACAAATTCACACCACACGGTGGCCCTGTTGGGACAAACGGGACTAAACCAATCTTGTTGAGTGTATGATTTACGTCACAAAAACTGAAATGTTGTATGACTGACGTCACATGAAGTAGCCAATGAGCATAGAGCTGAGTGAATTTCGGTTTCCTCCGGTGAGTTTGAATTTTCCAACGAGACCAACCCCAAACAATCTGTGAGATAAAGGAGTAGCGCGCCCAAAGTAAGTGTGCATCTATCTTTAATTTTAACTCTTGTAGCGATTCGTTTAAGCCATACGTTTACTTCAACACAACATGCCATCTCGTTTCAAAAAGCATGTTGTATCCGCCCAGCCGTTAATTTGTGGAGTTTTGTTTAAAATCAAAATCAACGTTTGCTCAAACAATTTTCAACCCAGCTAAAGTTAACGCCAGATCAACACCAACATAAACAGACTTCGCATACGTTAACGTTTCTTCTTATATTGACAGTAAGTGCAGTGTCGACTATCTCAGACCTGCGTTTATCCAGTATTCTGTAAAAAAACATTGCATCTAGTTGCTGTCCGTTACGTTAGCTACGGTTAACTAACGTTTAGTTAGCAAACGCTAGCTAATCGATAAATGCTAACTCCACGATGCCCACACTTTTGTAAAATACGGCTGTCTGGGGCATAACCGTTTTATTAAACTAAGTGAAAGTAATGTTAAACTCCAGCGAACGATGCTTTCAAAGTTTACGTCAACTTAGCCTAAATGTTTGTTTATGAGATGTCATGCATCAACGCAAGCCTGGCAAGCAATTGTTATTGTCGTTTTTGGTAACTATTAATTACCTCGCGACAGTGGTAGAGAGTAACTAAGTACATATGACATATTTGTAGTTTACATGAGTATTTCCATTTAATGATACGTTACACTTCTACTCAACTACATTTTAGAGGCAAATATTGTACTTTTTAATCCGCTATATTTATTTTAACACTCATACTTACTAGTTACTTTATACACATAAAAGACATGTTATACTATAATGGTATAATGCATTACTGTACTACTAATCTAAGCTGGTCCACACTGACGAACTACTAGAATAGAATACAAAACCAGATAGTAAAATAACCATAATAATAACATTTTGTGAACATTTCCATTCTGCAATGAGTACTTTTACTTCCAATGCTTTAGGTACATTTAACTGATAATATTTCTGTATTTTTGTTTGATTCTGAAATGGGTCATTGTGAAGAATGTAAGCTTTTACTTTGAGGACTTTAATACATAGTGATGCTGTACTTTTACTTAAGTAAAATGTTGAACTGCCTAATGCTTAATTACCTTATGTTTAACACAAGTTGTATTTTGCACACAAGACCTGATTTACATTTGAACTATCCCTGTCCATTTTTGTGTCAGCTCATACCCTAATATCTGTTACTTATGGGTCATATTGGAATCATTAATGAGTTGCAGATTAGTGGTATTGCCTTTTCCCTTCAAATAAATCCATGTCTGTTCATTCAGGATTTAAACCATGAGCTGGGCTGTGGAGGAGTGGAAGGATGGACTTCCAGGGAAAGCCCTGCAGAAGATCCAGGAGATGGAATCGCAGCTGGACAAACTGAAGAAGGACAGGAACCAGAAACAGTTTCAGCTGGACTCCTTAGAGGCTACCCTGCAAAAGCAGAAACAAAAGGTCAGTGTTTAAGAGGAATGCATTGTAAATAAATGAATTGAATAGGTATAGATCACTTAAACTCTTGAAACCCCTTGCATAAATTACTGGTGCATTGTCCTAATGGGAGTGGATACCCAATATTCCAACATGTGCTAAAAGAAAGATTGTTGATTACTTATACTTGTTTGTCTTTCTCCAGGCGGACGGTGAACGTTCTGAGACCTCTGCTTTGAAAAGAGAGAACCAGTCTTTGCTAGAGTCTTGTGACTCTCTGGAGAAAGCTCGTCAAAAGGTCGTCCATGACCTCGGAGTCAAAGAGCAGCAGGTCAGTTACTGATGTGAGACAGAACGGAAATATCAGCTGCGGTTTATTACTATTTAATTTGAAGTTAGAATTTAGTTTAATTCTATTGGACACGGTTACAAGATCAGTAATACTTACCAGCCAGTAGTCATGTATTTCAGATGTATTTAAAGCAAACCAACTAGACCTTTTTTTTTTATCAACTGTATTGAAAGAAAACAAAAACTAATAATTGTTTTCCCGAACCTAGGTGAGCTACCTTGACGGTCAGCTGAACTCTTGCAGGAAGACCATAGAGCGACTGGAGCATGAGCTTAAGAAGTGAGTGACGATAAATTAACAAATTTGCTGCTGCTGTTCCATCGTAAAGTACTGATTAATTCATGCTTAACATAATTAGATGTACCCTATTTGATCCTGACTTCTGAATGACTGATTACTCTTCCTTTGTTGTCTTTCCATCTGCTCAGGTACAAGAATGAACTGGACCGTTCGCAGCCTGCTGGCTCTTCCTCCTTGTCGTCCTCCTCCTCTTCTGACATTCAGCACTACACGACTCCACAGAAGAGTTACCCTACCCCAGTTTCTGGAGCAGCCTACAGGCAGCAGGGTATTTTTTTTTGTTATTATATAAGTTGTATAGTTTCCTCTCAGACTGGTTTTAATATAATTGTTAAATATGTTGCTTCTTCTCATCTTTAAAAAAAAAAAAACATGTATCTTACTGACTCTTGTGTTCCACAGATAACAGACTAGATGTGCTTCAGGAGAAATACAGCCAGGAGGTGGAAGAAAGAAAAAGGCTGGAGACTGAACTCAAAGTCATGCAGGTCAAAGTGAGTACATTTGTTATATTTATTATGTGGGTTTATTTTTTGTAGTCTCTTATGTTTAATGATCTCTTCTCTTCTAGATGTTGAACCAGTCCTCAGTCAGTGTTAGCCACAAGGACATAGCTGCTCGCCAAGCTGGATCTTCGATATTCCCATGGCAACAGGATCAGGCCCACAGCCGCCAGTCCCAGGATGCAATGGAAACGCCTCTGAAGAGGCGGGGAGCCTCCCTGTGGGACGCCCTGGAGGAAACCCCCATTAAAAGCAGCCAGCGGATGAGCTCTACCAGAGCGGCGCAGAGTCCCTGTGGATCCTCCCAACAGATGGAGCAGCTGAAGACACTCAACCAAGGTAGACTGTTTTCACTTGATTGGGAAATAATATATTTTATAGTGTTGGTGGTATCCTTTCATTTTGCACATGTACAACCTCTGAAAGATGTATTTTCAGAGGTTAAACTTTTGAGTTAAATATCCCTATTACGTCCTGCAACAACATTTCCATTATAACTTCTCATCCTCAGAGTTGCGTGGCCGTGTGTCAGAGCTGGAGAGGAACCTGTCCACTCAGGAGAAGGATATTCGTAACCAGGCCTCCAAGCTGCAGGAACTTCAAACCCAACTGACCCAGGCCCGCAAAGAGCTGACTGAGCGGGACAGAGAGGTGGCCAAGACCAGCCACGAGCTGAGTCAGGCCACAGACAGACACCAGCAGGTTGTGACCAAGGTAGGATCTTATGATTGGTGCATGGTCACTCTATTAATATGGGATATATTGTTTTTGTTTAATATCTGCTAGATACCCTTGTTCAAGATAGGCAAGCCTGGTAAAATCATAAGAAAGCATTTGAATGACTGATAACAATTCTGCCTTTTATTCCTTAGTGTTCATCAATTGAACAGAAGCTGAAACAAGTCTCAGAGGAGATGAGCTGTCAGAGGCACAACGCTGAGAGCTGCAAACGAGCCCTGGAGCAGAAACTCAAGGACCAAGAGAGAGACAGTCAAAAGGTGCGACAGCCTAGAGCCATAATACCATCAAACCTTTCCCAAATATTATTTTCTTTTCTTAAACTTAATAAAACAACTTCTTGTCTGTTCTGAGTAGGAGCTAGCTCAGCTGCAGAATACTCACCAGGCTTTGGACCAGCAGCTGAACCAGACCAGAACCAAGCTAACACAAGAGATCCAACAGTCTAAAAAAGAACACAACGTACTGCAGGCTGACATGGAGAAGGTAACTTTGTACCATCTCTGTTTTGCTTTCCCTTCCTCCTCTCTTAATCGTTCTTTCTTCACAGAGCTATCACTGAATCCTTTGAGGATGGCACATGATCCTGTATTTATTTTAGGGCTGTCAAATCATTACAATTTGTAATCAGATTAATCACAGCTTAAAAATTAATTAATCATGATTAATCACCATTCGAACTATGTCCAAAATATGCCATTTCTTTATGTATATTGTTGTGGGAATGGAAAGATAAATGAAAGAAGGCGGATATATCCATTTAACAAACGTATGTATGTTTATTATAACATTGTTCTGTGTGTCAAAATGAAAGACAGCCCACACACACCTATCAATCATCAAACCGTGGGGTCTTAATTCATTAGGTGTTGATTGGGGGGGGTGAACGTTGTGATCAGCTGTTTTAGCGCAGTTCTCCAGTGAAGGGGGGGGAGTCTCTCTCTCTACGTCAGTCCTGGTTGGTCTGTAGGTTTTTGGGCAGCAATTCCGTCTCCGTGATCTAACTCGCCTTGCTGTAATAAGGCTTCAGCAAGTATGCGTGTTGGTACGCAAATTGCGCTTTGTGGCAAGGCAAGTGACGGTTACACATTTGCAGATTGTTGGCCCGTTCGCATGATACCTGCGTTACCAAATCCATGTGCACATCATGTAGCTACATGCAATAAGTATTATTCTCTCGTTCGGTTTTTTTGACTTTTTTTTCCTTGTCTATACAATCACTTTTCATTCTATCTTTTGTTTCCGTTTATCTTTTATCTTGATTGATTGGCCAGAAGAATTATGCAAAGATGTTCTATTTGAGAAGACGATCACTACGTGACAAAAGTTTTCAAAACTGTTTCTAGTCTTCGGCATTATCCAGAGCAAGTGCTACCTGAAATCATCTACTAACTGCTGGTCTGTGCAATTTAATCTCCGCGAGTTGGCGGACTTTATTTCTGCTTACTTAAGCATCATTTTTCATGGTGGGGCTAAAGCCATTTCTTGGTACCGGGTGTAGCCTACCCCAGCCATACCCTGGCGCTGCCACTGGTTGGGGGATGTATGGAGGGGCCATTCTGCACATGGCGCTAATATTTTAACAGCAATTAATTCAAAAAATTAATTACCGCCGTTAACGCGATAAAAATTTTGACAGGGGCATTAATTTATTTATTTGCCCAATATTACTGGACTACACAAATTATACTATTAATATATTATCAATACTATGCATACATGGACCCAACTTTAATGATTGGTATAATGGCTGTGAGAATATGGAATTTACCTTGAGGTCCTGTTGGCAACTCCCTCTTTGTAGCTTTTCTGTTATGTAGGCATGTCAACCGGTAGGCAACACAGAAACTTTTGTTTAGCGCAATCATATTTTTCTCCATTATAAGCATGTATTTCCAGCTGCTTGTGGCATCAAGCTGCTTCAACT